GCAGGAGACAACAGCGGAGGGGCCCCTCCACATCTATATGCGAGGGGCCCCTCGGGAGATAATGCAGGGCCCCCCCCTTATGAGGATAAGCTACCTGGGGGAGCCCCCGCTCCTTCTGCCAGCCTTGGAGGTGCCTCCGTACCAAATGGTACTGCAGGGGCCCCAGGGACCCCCACGGAAACTACAGGGGGCCCCGGGGGCCCTGGGGGCCCCCCTCCTTTGCAGCACTTTGACGTTGACTCTCTGCTGCTTGCTGGTGTGTCAGTGGGGTTGGCTATACATGATTGGGCCCTGCAGATTGTACGAGGGGCCCCCCAGTTGCTGCTTGGCGGGTCCTCCCCCCCTGTAAGTACGGGTATGGAGGGAGAAGAGGACACAGAGAATTGTTTACGGTGTACCCTATTGGGTCTTAGGGGGCCCCCTCCCCCTCCTCCTCCTCCTGCTTGTAACAACGCCCAACGTAAGCCAACAGGGCCCCCCCCACGACGTCGGGGGGCCCCCAGAAGGAGACATGGATCCGCAGTACCCTCTAGAGCAGAGGACGGCAGCATATTGTACACAGCAAGGGCCCCTGGGGGCCCCCGTTTTTCTCGTGAGTTCTCTAGCAGGCGTCTACCAGGAGGGGCCCCAACAGGAGAGGCCCTGGGGGGCCCTGGGGCCCCCGACGGACTTCCTGATCCAGAAGACCCAGGGGCCCCTGAGGAAGGGCCCCTAGGTTTTGACTATTTGCCTATGGCAGTAGAAGCAGCAAAAGCAGCATCAGATGCTGTAGAGAATTCTCTAAGGTATTTTGCATCCAAGTCTGCTGCTGCTGCTGCTGCTGCTGCAGAGGGGTCCTCTGCTGCTGAAGGGTCCAGAGGGATGGGGGGCCCCTCGAGGTCCGGTGACGGGGTTGTGCTGTTGGATGCGGAGGCCCTGCTTAGGGACCCCGCGCCCCTCTATAAAGACAAGGGCATGCAAGGGTGCACAAAAACGCCAACAGCAGCAGCAGCTGCTGCTGCTGCTGCTGCCGGCAACTCTAGAGATGGCCGGGCAGCCGACCGCAGTGCCTCTTCTGCAGCTTTAGATCTGCAGGGGCCCCAAAGGGTGCTGGGGGCCCCCGTAACCACTGGGCCCCCCCCAGTACAATCTAAAGGTGGTACTGTGGGGCCCCGTGGCGAAACAAGGAATGTAACAGCTCGCCCTCGGCTGCAGCAGAGGGCACAGGGTACAGGGAGGGGCCCCTGCAACCCAGCTTGTGGTAGCGGGGCCAACCCCTCTTCGGGGCTCCCCCCAACCCCAGGGTCCTGCAGCAGGGGCCCCCATAAGTGCTGCGCAGGGGCCAGGCGGCAGGGCTCAGATGGTACAGTTTCAAATATACAGGGGGGCCCCCAGGGGGCCCTCAATCCTCAGGATAGGGCCTCCAGTTCGGGGGTACTAGACATAGAAGGACAAGAGAAACAGGGTAACCCCTCTTGCTGCCTCCAGGAGTCTCCTGTTACAGCAATGGAGACAGGCGGGGCCCCCCAGCAGCAGCAGCAGCAGCAGCAACAGCACCAGCAACAGCAGAGTCCACAGACGGAAGAAGGGGGGCCCGAGGAGGTCCCCCCTTCTTACCCTAGCTGGGCACTGAGCCGTATAAGAGCAGCCGCGGAGCAGCTAAATGTGGGGGGTTTGGGGGCCCCCATGGACGAGGAGGGGGGGCCCCAGTCAGGAGACAGTGCAACAGCAGCAGAAGCTGCTGGTGCTGCTGCTGGTGCTGCAGCAGGAAGCACGGAGGCACAGGAAAGCCCTTCTACCCGACTAACAGGGGCCCTCTTGGAAGGGAAGAACTCAACAGATACAGCAGACAATAAAGGGGGGCCACCATCCAGCAGCAGCAGCAGCAGCAGCAGCAGCAGCAGCAAAACTGAAGAAGGTGCTGCTGCTGCTGCTACATCCGCAAGATCCTGTCCCTTCAGCGCCGAGGGCCCCTGGGGGTTTGGGCTCCCCCGAGTCCCTAGTGTCTCCTTTGGTTCCCCTAGACAGCGTGTGCCCTCTATGGGGGGCCCCCAGACCCAAAGGGGCCCCCAGGGGGGCCCCCAAAGAAATTTCCGATTGGGCGGTGGGGGGCCCCTTAGCCCTGTTCCGTCAGGGGCCCACCTAGGCAGTGTAAGAGGCTCAGGTACTACACCTTCTTCCTCCTTGGGGGCCTCCTTACCATCAAGTACCCATGGTTTATGGGGAGATGGGGGCCCCCAGGGGGGCCCCCTAGGTCTAGAGAGTCTTACTATAAAAAAGGTTATACCCCGATTGAGGCCCCAAAGACCAAGACGCAAAGGCACCAGGGGTATGTAAACAAACGGATACATCTTCTGCTGCTATAGGGTACAATGGGGCCCCCAAAGGGCCCCTCGGGGGCCCTTTGGGGGCCGTTCTACTAAAGGATTTATGTAGCACCAGGGGCCCATTAGGGGCCCCTGGTGCTACATAAATCCCTTAGTAGAACTCATTATAACTATACAGGGACGCTCCCCTAATT